AAACAATGGCTTATACATTACAATAAGCGGTTATTAATTTTAATACAATAAATGATATTGACAGTTTCATATAAATTCAAACATCTAATTGATAGTTTTGAATGAATTATAAATGAAAGTCATAGGTCCGATAAACCTAATGCATTTAGAGATTTTATCTCTAAGTTTGAAAAAAAATAATGAAAATTAAAGTAGGTAGTAGTATAAACTTCATTTATAAGATTTTTACTAAAATAAAAAAAGTATTTTGTAATTAAATATATTATTCAATTGTAATTAATACATGATGTGTTTATTATACAAATAGCTATATCACTCTATTATACTTAATAAACTATGTAGCATCAAAACTATAGTATAATTATAGATAATTTTTTTGTAATATTTAAAGTCTGGAATCGAAATATGATTATTTAGACTAATTATTTATTAATTTATAATTACTAAATTCGATTTAATATAATAATTAACTCTTTAAAAATCACTAATTTAATTTAATATTTTTAATGTTAAAACAATTATTTTGAAAAAAAATTCTCAAAAAAAAGCTTAAAAATATGATTAATAAGAACTTTTTTTTTTTTTTTTTTTTTTTTTTTATTAAAAGAATAATTACAATCTATACATAATTTTGTACATTAAATAATTTTGTTGAGAGAAATATCGGTGAATATAACGGAGTGGGAAGGTACTCAGTAGTACCACCCGACAGATCAAGCAAGGATATCTCTAGGCCAAGATCGTTTCAATCTTCTTCTAGGATTATCGGGAATTGTACAAGAAGACAGACGTTTGATTAATGGATTAGTATGGTGATTTAGCTTTGAATGGAATGAGAGGAAGTGGGATTTGGTTAGCTGAGAAAGTGTGGGAACGTTTAAGTCTTTGTGAAGGTTGGCGTTTTTTATATACCAAGGGGCAGAGACGATTTGACGGAGACATATTGATTGGAAGGCTTGTATAGTTCGCAGGTTTGAGGGTTTCGCGGAGCCCCATATCTGGATGCCGTATGCCCATACAGGTCTTAAAATAGCTTTGTAGATTAACAATTTATTGCTGATGTTTAGTTTGGAGCGGAGAAGTGGACGGAGCAAGTGAAGTCTAGAGTTTACAGATTTCCTTTTGTTTTTGAGGTGTTGAGCCCAGGTGAGTCGCTTATCAAACGTTAGGCCCAGGTATTTGACTACAGGGGTTGTTGGAATTAAGTTATTATTGAATGAAAGTGGAGGACAGTCTCTAGGTCTCAGTGAAAAAGTAATAAAGGAGGATTTGGAGTCATTTATTTTTATTTTCCATTTTTTTGACCAGATCTGGATCATGTTTAGATGATTTTGTAACCTAACAGACACGGTTTGAGGGTTGTCATTTGAGGCCAGGATTATTGTATCGTCGGCGTATGTGCCTAATGATGTAAGCAAAGTTTTCGGAATGTCATGTGTAAATATGGTGTAAAGGAAAGGCGCTATGTCGCTACCTTGGGGGACGCCAGCCAAAATAGGAAAGTTAACCGAGTAGCTGTTGTTCACTCTAACTGAGAAAGTTCGATTTTCAAGATAAGACTTGATAATAAGGTAATATGGAGCAGTGAGAAATTTTTTAAGTTTATAGAGTAGGCCATCATGCCACACTCGGTCAAAGGCTTGGGCCACGTCTAGCAGGACGGCAGCACAGTAGAGCTTGGATTCTAAAAAATATGATTAAAGATGAAAAAACTATCATGTTAATCAGTAATCAATTATTCAATTGTACCAACCGAATGAATAAAATATAATATGAATGCAAAATGCATAATCATACACTCATAGGGACATAAATATTGTGTGTCTTTTAAAGATAACTATTTTTTAAAACCATTTTTTTTTCGCTAGACTATCAATTTGTTTTAAAAATAGAATTGAAAAAAATTCATTTACCCATATTCTTTCAGATATACATTTACATAAACGCGTTTTCAGAGTATTACGATTTATGAAGGTTAATTCATTTTAATTATGACAATACATATATTAAGCATGATAATGATGATGTAATATAATATGCATTGCGATATACCTAATTCTCATTTAATGTTAATTAATTATAAGTTATAATTTATACGTTCTATGTTGAACAATATAATAATAATAAAATATAACAAATTACATATTATGCATCTTATTTTTACTGGAATATCGTAAGGAAAATTTAACTATAATGATGGAGGTCTTTGCATATATTTTTTTTAAGGAAGGATAGAAAAAAATTCTCATTATTACACTCTCAATATTATTATAGTTTGATATGTGTTTAGACTTCGCAATTAAAAATACAACTTGAAAAGTTGAAAAATATAATAATAATATTTAAAGATTTTCTTAATATATTATGTTTCGGTGTGTGTACATTAAACAGTAATGCGATAATTTGTCATGTAATATGATACCGTTACAGAAATAAAGTAGCCTAATACTAAACGTATCAAAAAATGTTGATAGTGAAAAGGCAAAACGCTATAGGTGGGTACTTATAAACTTTACAAAAATCAGATTTCATAGAAAACATTTAACTTGGCATAATTTCTCAGCAACAATGGTAAAGTAAAAGTATTCGAATTCATTTTCGAAAAATGTGAATGTCCGTCAATTTACTGAAGAATTGAACATAAACAGTCTTACAGAAATTCAAGAAATACCTATCATAGGTCCCTAAAGGAATATTGATACACTACACTTGTTTTTAACGTTATAGATTTTTGGCAATTTTGAAAAAGAATATTAATTAATTAAAATTTTCACTTGTTGATAATAAATATGTTTTGTGTGCAATGTACACTTCAATAAATACTATGGGTGATCTATTGTGAAAACGTGTTGTTGGTTTTTATTGTTAAGGTTTTAATTTTAATCTGAAAATTGAATAAATTATTGTGAAAATATTCATAGTATCATCATCACATTGTAAGATTTCATTTTATTTCCATAACATTAATATTTTGTTTATTATTTTAAGGCAATAATGACCATTGAGTAATATTGATAAGATTTTAAATTACATAAGTCTTATCTCCAGTAACAAATACTACAACTAAGATTTCCCGAAAAATAATGAACTCACACACACAGACTTCTTTAATATTTCCAATATTCTTTGACGACATCCACCAACCATATTTTTCACATTTCACCATACACACAAGGTGAACTCTTTTCGCATAAAGAAAATGTCAAAGTAAAAGCCCCGGATACTGGCTCCTAGAATATTCCTTGCATAGTCATACATAACATCTTTATTAACACTTATAAACTCTTCTAAAAATATATATTTTATGTAGATGTACAATGTTTTTCACAATTATGGAGAAATAGTAGGGTCATTCCAAGAAATAAATCAAGCAAGAACAAGTTCTCACAAAAATACAAAACAGATACTTCCCAGTTCCATATACCGTCTTAATATACCATACGAATCACTCGAACAATTGTCAACTTAAAACTTACATGTGGACTCTAGAAAAAATCAACTATTTCTCTCCGGAGCAAAGTGGGTTCCGGAAAAACAAAAATGCGTATAACTGCCAAGCTAAAATAAATTATGAGATTCAAAATAGTTTTACTTCTATTCCATATTTTGGAATGATCAGTCTCAATGTGCCAAAAGCATACCTATTTCTCGTCGCCATCGACCACATTACAAAGAATATAACATCTCAAGTCCAAACATTGTATGCTGGCGACTTCAATATATTTTGCAGCATAAAAACATAACAACTGTCGAAGCTCAATTACAGCTCAATATTGATAAATTGACAAATCTTAATCATCAGGCTTCTTCTTTTCTTTTGATAAACCTCAATTTATAATACTCAAAAGAAGACGCGACCCCATAAACATCAACATTTGAGATCACAAGACACTAACTCATGCAGTAACAGCAATACAATGAAAATTGTAGGTATTGACAAAAATATTCATGGTCACAACATATCACACATCTTAAAAATTAAAACTTTCACAGCTCAACATTATTTATACAACTGTTGAATGGAATATCCTGGAAAACAAAAAACTTACCAGTAACCATATGTATGTTCGTGGTACAAACGAGCTTCATTCGTAATTATTTTTTTAATGCAATAGATACAGTTTATGATTGAAACATTCAAATTATTTAAATTCACCGAAAACTTTGGGCTGGTAATGCCTCAATGCTTCACTGTCGTGAAACCACAGAACCAAAATAGCGAACGTCAAAACAGTGACAAAAAAACAGCAGAGCACAAAATTGGGAGTGCCCAAAACGACTAAAATATCTTATTATGCAGATTAATATATGTATACAGTATTCAGATGAACTAGTTAAAAATTCAAACGATACCATATTTATTAATTAATACGTGTATTTAGAGCAGAGTTAATTAAATTAAATATGACGAAGGTAAAATATTTTGTACAACAAAATGAAACTGAATTGTGGCGAGCGACGAGTTAAAATCGTTACTTGTATTACGCACTTAAGCTACAACTCGACACGAAAATACGTAGGTACCATAATAATATTAATATTAATAGCACCTATATATGCTGTCCGCTGATTTTCTGTTTGTTTAAAAGTCAAAAAAATATATATACTTTCTACCTAGTGGCATTTATAAATTATATTATAATATCGAATTGAATAATTATTCAAACAAATTAATAAAATATGTTTTATCGTTACTCGTAAACATTTTTAACCAGTATCATATTGTGTATTATGAGATGTTAACCGTTTTGAACATTCGAAACTATTATGTGTCTAAACACTCTAAACAATTGTAAGCTTAGTGATTTCGTCATCGCTGTTTTCATTTTTGATATTTTTAGTATGCTGTTATGTTCTATGACTCATGTGAGCTACAAAACACGAGTATCGAGTATCACAAACGTATTTATATTGCCGGTCTTTAGGCACTCGATCGACGTCTATTTTAGTTTTAAATTTATAAAACAATTTATGTTTATTTTTAGTATTTTTATACTCACTTATCTGGCAGTTAGATCCGGTTTTACCAAACGGGCATCGGCAAGTCTGTTTGTTTCGGCTATCGAACGCGCACGCGCCTTCACCGCACTTCCGCACGCACAAAGCCGGTGAGCCTGTGGCAACGAATGTTTGAGTTTCGACGTGCTTTACAAACCGAACGCTGTCCTCAGAATCCACTTCGTTGGAATCGACAAACGTCAGTCCAATATCTCTTTCGAACTCTTTGATCTTATCTGTTACTGAATCGTTTCCTATGAAATATAGATATACTTATAGATTATACATACATATTATATAATAATATGTGAGTATGTGACAACACAATTATTATACAAGGTGATTTACCAAGCATACTCACTATGCTTAATATAAACATTTTAATAACTGAAAAACTACTGGTTTGAATTCTAAATTAAGTACATCGTATATCATAAAAATAAAAATCATCTTCTAAATAATTTACAGTAAAACGGGGAGGGGGATTCTAATTTGAAAATCAGATGTTTGTATCGCTAAGTACCTACAACAAAAAAAAAATGAAAATATGGTCTGTATGTATTCCAAAAATTAGAATTTTAATAAGTTAATTATTAAATGAAATGATAAGGGTGCTAACGTGCTTCGTGAATCACTTTATATATAATATAAATACAGGTTTTCATGGATATAGGTACATTACATTATTCCGCAAATGCCTAAATGTCCTAAATACAGTAGAACCTCGGATTATCTAAACAAACTAGGATCACATCTAGTTTGGAAACGTGAAAGTTGGGATGCTGGGAATTTTTTTAATACTATATAGTATATAATATGTACATGCATATTATAAGTAAATTACATATATTGATAAATATAAATTAAATTTTTTCATACGTATCACAAACAAACACACATAATATTATTATATATTAAATTAGTATATACATTTATGAGTAGATTGATACATGATTATATATACAAGCGCTAACCGCGTATAGACTCGTTCAGATACGTAAATTGCATTGTTTTGATATTTGTTCGGATAATAGAGGGTTTGTATAGCGGAGGTTGGGTAATCTAGGTTCTACTGTAATGCACAATATAGTTACATGCTCAACAGTCTGATAAAGGCAGGTATAGAATATCGAATTCACAAACGTATAGTCAGGATATATTGTGATATGATCGTTGATATACATATCCCATAAGACCCATAAGACATTTCGTGAAATAAATATAATAATACATAGGTAACATTAGTCGTAGTCGTTGCCATCCACTGAAAATGCCGATTCATCTATTTCCTCAAAATAATACCACAGTCGATTAGTAAGTTAATTGGTCCGTTGCCAATTTAATTGAATTAGTAAATTTGTAGATCTCTAGACATTATTGTGAAATATTATCTAGGTGCATGCTGTATAATATAACGGACTGTACAACATATTAAAATCGTGTACTATTGCACATCTTGTACTCACAAAAAATCGACCTTAAATATTATCTTCAGATTATTTGTTATAAAATTATGCATTTTTAACAATCTATTTAATCGTTAGATTAAAATAATTTTGATATTCAACTCATATATTATTTTTATTTATTTTTTTTTTTTTATTGAACTTAAGCTTCGGCAACTGAGGCCATTAGCTGTAGTAGGATTTGTATTGTAGTTTGTATTGTATATTTTTTGGAACGGTAGGGGGGAACACGTGTGTGTTTGTTTTTTTGGCAGAATTTCGAATGGGGCACCCGTAGGTTTCTGCCATGCCCCGGGGGTGGGGGATGGCAGCACTTGTTCTCCGGTCACCGCGACTTGTCCGGAGAAAAATGCCGCCCGGTAGCCGAGGATCGAACCGCGACCGGCTGCGTCGCAGCGGACGCGTCAGACCACTCGGTCACCTCATCCCCCTCATATATTATTATCTTTATTCATTTTATTTAACTGTATCAAAATAACGTCACAGACATGGGAAATATACTAATTTGTATAATTGTAATAGGTAAGCTTTATTGTTACCTATACAAAATGTATACATTTCAGTATTTACCTAGGTTATTATTATTTAAATAAAGTAACGCAGTTTTGAAAATAAGAAACAGTTAACTTACTATAATTGTCTTACCTACATTATGTCGGATTTTGATATGAAATTTATTAGAAAATACAATGTAAAATGAGACAAACAAATTTGGTAGATATACCTAGTCCTACATGGCTACATACGATATTTTGTTATTTTTATTTTATCGAGAATGAAATTAGTAAAAACGATACTTTATATTTTTAGGTACATAGGTACCTATCCACTAATTATTTCAATAATTCTGATCTAAATAGATCTTATCATACCTATATTTAAGTTGGAACAATTTAATTTTTACTCTTATGTTATAAGATATTTTGACTCTTTACTTTCTCCACTAAATAGTTGTTGATAATTTTTGACTTTATATACTATCTACGTGGGCAACACAGTTTTAATTTGAGGTATCAAATGTCAAATTGCTATCTTCACTTTTATTTTTCATATTTGTTTTAAAAGCGTAAGCGATGATCGAATTACCCGTCTGAAAAATAAATTAATTGCTCATCAAGCAATTGAAATTTAAGAAATGTAAGCAATCTCAATATCAACAAAAATTTGACCACTCAGAACTTATTTTTAAAGTACAGTATTTTTTTTTTATTGATATAAAAACTAAAATACAACCATTACTACTTATAACCATCATGTTCAAATTCCAGTATACGAGCATTTTTATAGTTTTTGGTGTTATATTTTTTAATGAAATTGGTATTATGCATATTTTCAAACTCTCTGTAAATAAAAATAGTTTAAACGTGAAGTGTATAGTTTTTCCTTTATTTCGTTATAATTGTATAACTAATTTGTAAATAAAATAATTTTTAGTCCATTTTTAAATACAATACAAAAGAGAAAATACGAAACAAGACCTAATTTGAATAATATTCGCATTTTAAATAATTTAATACTTTGCAATCTTTTGAATTTCCATTTCTACATAAAAGCAATAAATATACTTATTTCTTCTTTTGAACTATGTTGGAATTTGCTTATAGAAAAAGAGAGGAAGTATTTGATGGAGAGATTATTAATCACTGTTTTGTTGATCATTTGTAAATTGAAAATAGAGAACCAACTAAAGGAAACGTATAATAAAATAACGACTAAAGTTAAAAGAGTAAATGCATTATATAAGATACACCATAGAATAATAAACATTTGACTCAGACTGTTGAATGAAAGGATTAGTAGGTTATAAGAGAGACATTTACATAATAAATATATAATAATCAAAAATGAATGTGAACATTTAAAATACTATAAAAACCATTGATATTGAAAACCTAAAAAAAAAATATCTATTGAAAATATTAAATTAGATAGGTACCATTAAGTGCCTCCAATGGGTGGCTTCTTATCTCCTGCCACTCAAGCCATGTCACCTCCATCACATACGGTTATTGTATAATAAATAATTAATAATATTTACAGATTTTGTAGGTATTTTAATAATAAACGATAAAAAAAAAGATAGGTACCTATTAAGATGGATAAATAATATTGGTTCAGTATTTAAAGTTTAAACTTTGTTTTAGTAAAATAATATTATAGTTAAGGAATATTTTATACGCAACAAGTTTTATTTGGTTGACAATAATTAAAACATGTTATGGGAAGTGTTAAGATGATTTTCTCCTCAGAAAACATTTTTATTTCTACGACATTTGTTTTTATTTAAAAAAAAATAAAGTATTTTGTTGTTGCTAAGGTAGGTAAAGATTTTTTTTTCAGTGTACCATGTTTTTGTGTCCGGAAATACTTTTTGTTACAGACGTTAAACATTAATAACAAGAGATTTTTTCTCGAAGGGTTCCTAGTAAAATACAACTCTTAGCTCACGAATATGAACAATATCATGTTTGATGAAAAATGACACAGAATATAATTTTTTTTTATGAATACAGGAATTTACATTAAATACAATTGTATGTTATGTTACATTACAAAATATATCATCTTATTCGTATATTTAGTAGAGACTAGTACGTTTTTGTAAGTAAAATTGATCTAATTGTGAAATCTTTATTTCAAATATTATACAAATAAGTTATTTGTTTATTGATCAGAAACAGTGTTTCGGCATTTTTATCTCCACCATTATCTTTTTGCCCAGTTCGACAGTATTTGAAATATAATTTTGGATAATTAGGCGCCGTGCACACGTCTGTTTTTTGCTGCTGCGGTTAAGTGGTTGAATGGATACAATGCGTACGGTGACGTAGCGGCGCTGCTAGACATGTGCACTGTACGATTTGTTCACATATTATTATTACCTACGCCGTATTTGTGGCTCCACGGCTGCACACGTCTGCACAGGGTCATATTGATACTCGAGCGATACAGTATTGATTATAGTTTATAGCAGTTTTTTAATATCATAAAAATATTTGTTTTCTTGTTTCTTAGAAAATTTAGAATCACCGAAATATCAAGGCTATTAAGGAAATAAAATAGGTAGATTATTTTTATATTTTAAAAGTTCAACTACTTATTTTAAATAAGTAATTAAATAATTAAGTAAGTTTTTAAGTTTCTTCAGGAAGCTGATTGAGAGTAGTACCTGTATAATAATTTATATTTGGGTGCAAGAATGTGCTCGTAAAATGAAAAACACTGCAAGACATTCTATATGGGACTATGTTGGTATTGCATAATATGTTTTATGCATAGTTGTGTAAGATGAAAAATAAGAATTCAGTTCGTGCTATTATAATGTGGATTAACGTGTCCGAGGTATTTATTATTTAAATAATAAATAAATAGTGATAAAATAAAATATAAAATGAATAATAAATTTGACTAATTAAACATACTTGTGCAAGTATAGCCATCTTCATGTAATGAAAATCCTGTTTTGCAATCGCATTCGAACATTCCGTCATGGAGCTCGTAACATAGTTGTTCACATGGACTATCGTGGCCACAACGTCCTAAAAAAAAAATTTTAATGTTTAATATACTCTATACAATTAGTCAACTTACATAGATGATAATAGATTACATATTAAAATTGTTTAACGTTAGCTCGTTAGACATAAAATCGAATGTAAAAACTAACGAACATTTTTTCTGGAATATATACTCATAATTGCAATAATTGTAGGATGGGAATTTCTATTTTACCATTGATATTAATTTAAAATATAAATAGAGATTTACATTAACTTTTAACTAATCTTATTTTGTACAAGAGAAAACTAATTTTTAAAGTTACTAAAAAATATTTATTTGTACTTATTCCCCGAAAAAATCTTCCTACGTAAAAAGTTAACCTTTTATTTTTTCTTATATTAATTTAGATAATTTAGATTGTTGTTTGAGTATAGCCATCAAAATCGTTAAAATTCAAATTAGAAACAAACAAAAATCTTTTTTTCTAGAGAAAAACACTTTTAAAATATTTAATTACTTAAAATAAAAATGCAGCAGGCTACTGAGGTAGGTGTCATCATATTTGAAAGCAATAATAAATCATAGCTTTTTAAAAAAACTTTACCAAGCTTAGCTTTGCTTACCTAAAAAATTATCAAAAGAGATCACAAAGGAGTTAGTGAAAAAAAATAACAAACCATTAAAACATTACACTAAGAATCTAAAATTAAATTTAAAGAATAAAAAATGATTGAAGAATTATTTTTCAGAAATTATTATATGTTTATTTATACAATTTAAAGAAGTGCACAACTATTGTTAATATAATTATGTTATTAAAAAAGTAATATTATACTCCGGTTCAGGTTTTATACAACAATTATAAAGTTCATAAGAAAAAGTAATTTATTTCAAATGGATATCTGCACAAGCCAATATTGTTATAGTTTTACATTTATACAGTGGAAGTTGAATATAAAAATGCACACCTAGATATATGCAAGTAAATCCAATTATAATCTCGATCTTCGTAGAAACAACAAACATATAAATGTCGAAGAAAATTATCAGAATATAAACATAAGTAATTATTTATTCAATCAATACAATTATATTATGTTTTTACACAATATTTCTTAATTATAATATCGTTATTTATAATATTTGATTACAGCTTTAAGTTGTTAATAATTAGAAAACTTCGGTGGGTCTCTCAAAGCCTCAAAATATCGAATGGACATGACTAATAAGTGTTTGGCAGTAATTTTGATTTTTATGATTTTTAATAATACGAAATTAGTACAAACACTTATGTAAAATATAATTGAATCGAAATATTAAATATTATAAAAGATTTAGCTGTTGACAAAGCTATAGTACCTATAATTCAAAAACTCGGCGAGCAGATACTTTGCCTATCCGGCGCTATTTAATGTCAGTGTTTGACAAGTTCCTTATAAAAAGGAATTCGTTCCGTTCCTCGTTCTTTTTTTGTTTAAAGGGGAATTCGTCCCGTTCCTTTTTCATTAAAAAAAAGAATTCTTTTCTTTGTATTTCCTTTGGAAAATAAAAGAGTTCCTTTTTTAGTTCCAAATAAAATAAAAATTCTTATTTAATCATCAATGTTTTTTTTTCATATTCATACTTCGGTACCTAACTTTTTAATTATACTTATACATACATACAAGTGCATTTATAATTTACTATATAATAATATAATATTGAATATATTTTTTTCTTTTATCATCTATGTTTATCTATAATTATTATTTTTTTAAACAGTTTAAATTAATATTAAATTATACGATTAACTTCGATACTCGATAACGATGACTAATAGGCAATATTATACACACTAAGAAAAAAAATATTTTAATTTAAATTAATTACATAACTGAGTAAACTGGAACTAGAAAGAACTCGATTTTTCCCTTGAAAAAAAGAACTCGTTCATTTTCTATTTTTTTTTATATAAAAAGGAATTCGTTCCAGGAACTCGTTCCTTCCAAACACTGGTTATTATAATAGTTATTATGTAAAAGACAAAATGAATTGATTTATCACAGTTATCATCACGGAACTAAGACATTAAAACATCAGGATATTTTACAAATATATAAGTAGAAAGATACATTATACAGTTTAATGCAATATTACGTTTAAAAAAATATAATACCAATACATGAGTTTATTTTATTTTATACTGGTGTACCTATCATAATTTGATATTTAACATACTACTACTGTTTAAATCAGTTAAACCTTTTGAAAAATTAATCAATTCAAAAATAATTGACACTATATTTTTATAAATATAAATTATCTTAAGTTGACAATAATCTAAATAAAATAAGTTCATAACATTTTACAACAACAAATGAGTGAAAGTATAATCATTATTAAACTTCACAATAAATAAATTTAGGTAGGTAAATATCTATCTATTAAAGGTTAAACTTAAAATAATATTTTAATATATTTAATATGCATACAAATGTATAACAAATAATGAAATTTCTTTCATAATTCCCGTTTATTTTTTAGTTTTTATCCTAGAGTTTATGTATGTTTTGAAAGCTCACCGAATCGATAAAAATGCAAACTTTATTATTACGTTAAAATATAATCAACGTTGAACCATAAATAAAGGAATTCATTTTTATATATTTTTTATCTGGTAATATATGCGAAGCAAAAGCCATGAATATTTGAAATAAAAAAAATATAAAAATGAGAAAGTTTAAAAGTATTACATAAAGAGATACATAATATACTTAAGACCCTCTGTCATAGTTTTTTTTTTAGCGAACAATTATAAATTATGGGTGTTGAAAATTTAACACATATTTTTAAAAACTTATTTTTTAACAAAAATTATACGACGATAGATATAAATTTATGATATAGGTACCTAAGTTAAATGTACTCGGTTGACGTAATAAGTGTATAGATATAGCTAACTGAATACTATTGAAGATATTCAAACAGAATCTTATAGCTCATATTTTATATACATACATATAAAAACGTTATGAGGCACAACTATGTTATTATTTTTATAAATATTATGTTTTATTATCAACTAACATAGAACGAATTTCAAAAATATATCAATTTATATACTTACCTATAACCTGATTTAACGAAAATCTCAAAAATATCACACATATTTCAGTTAATGTGAGTAACCATTTAAACTGCTTTATTTAATTCCCTTTTTTGGTTTTAAATCTAGTGGGATAAGCCTTTCCCCTTCAGGATTAAGTATTATTTTTACGTAAACAAAAAGCGTCAGATTAATATAGGTGAATTGTTTATTTAAATTATAATCCTCCAAAAAATGTTTTAAGTAAAAATATGTGTTCCAGTTTTTTTAACTACGTAGAAAATTGAATCAGCATTGTAGGTGTATTGAAGCATAGTATAGTTATGTAAGTACTTTATTATTGTAATTTAATTTTAAGATATTTATCTATTTAAAATTGGTTGTCATATTTATTGAATTAGATATTTTCCTATATAATTTTAAAATTCCAAAACGTAAATCGTAGACAGGAGAAATCTAATATTAAACAATTGTAACCGCTCTGCTGTAGTAAGATGTCATGCGTACCTCGTCATTGAGTAAGTCACTGGAGGTAATGACTAATGGATGTGTTTGATTTTGATTCAATGATAAATCATTGAATAAGAAAATCTATTCTAAGCAGAGGACTCTATCCTTTATTACTGCTTAAATATATTATTATGTATACATTTAAGTCGTACCTATATTGATTATAGTAATTTATTCTATTATTAATAATGGGTTCGGTGATTTTAATTAATTTTCGCCCATTAACATCACATTATTCTGTTGTATTATAAATTATTAAAATTGCATATATTTTTGAAAATTCCATCGTGTATACCTAGTTAAATATAATAATATATTAGGCAAGATGTAAAAGTTTTAAGGAGAATAATAATTTTAAATTACAGCAGAATAACTAAAACCGAAATTTTTTGTCTAAATATCTAATATTGTCGAAATTTGCTGTCAGATTTATTTAAATTATCTTTTTATATATATTCAATGGAAAATCCGAAATTAAAAATTAACTTATTATTTTCTTTCGTTTATAAAAAAAAACTACTATAAAAATTGCTTTATTCAACATCAAAGGAACTACGTAGTTCGGTGACATATTAACCAATAGGTTATACACTTGAACAAAATAATGTACAATAAACAAAGGAAATAAAGCTGGGACTTAAAATTATATTCATATTAACCGATATGACGTTTTAACCGATGCGAAGGCACTAAACGATTTATTCCGTATTTATCATAAAGATATTTTATGTGGAAAACAATTTGGAAATTGCATTGATCGAAGTATTATTGAATATAACTCAGATGAATGACATTTTTATTTTATACCTATAGCATTGTACTTATTGTTGCATAACTACTATTTTACACTCCCTGACATGTCATTGGGCGCTCGCTAAGCACCACGTTTACCTACTCACATGGACGATCGATCCTCTAGGAAAGTATAAAAATAATTTAACATCCTTCGTATCGTAACATGACCAAAGAAAATCAAATAAATATAATTCGGCTTACATTTATTTTGTTGGCTAACAAGTTCAAGTCTTATATGAAATATTTGAGTTCAAATTGAATGGAGGTTTCGTTCCTTTAATTCTATATAAGAAAATAGTGACATTACTATATGGGATGAAAGTATATTCTATAGCTTGTCCACCAGTGGTCATATTATATCCAGACGTAAATGTATAGCCAACTTATAGCTGCACAGTCACTCATATGCCATTTGTCTGTACTCTTGAAACATGAGACAAAAACACAAATCTAATAAATAATACATACATTTTATTATCCAGTTTTATTACAATTGCAATTTTTGTTGTTATTATTATTTTTATCATTTAAATTTATTACTTAAATTATTAAAGTCATATTAAGCAGTTAAATTATTATTTTAAATTACAGTAAAACATTTATAATAGTTCACTATTATTAATACAAATATTTTTAAATTTAAATTTC